CCCGCGTGATTCAGCTTCGTTTCTGTCGTGGGAACTGGAGTGGTGCAGTTCAAATTGGTTCGCGCGCGTGCCTCACATTTGTATTTGAATTTGCCACTCGAATTTCTGACGTAAAAGTCCCAGCGCGCATTATCTGCAGTTGAACACGTAGTAGGCTTTTCCGACCAGTATTCTCCATAAGAGGTTTATTTTTTGGGGACGGGTTAGATCGCCTAAATATGTGTCGTGAAACCCGCCACCACCCAACACGGCCAATTAGTAAGGTTTGGCACGTAAACAAACCTTACTACATGACAAAACTTACTAATTGGCTGTGTCGGGTGGTGGCGAGTTTAATGACACATTTATATTTACGTGATATAACCCAAAAACAACAGTCAATTATAGATCAGTTGAACACGTAGACTTTCGCGACCAATTTTATTCATAATAAAGGTTTTTGGGTATGATTGCATGCATAAGTATAAATGTGTCGAAACCCTCCATCACCACCCACCACTGCCAATCACTAAGGGATTTGTGACGTAAAAAAATACCACATAGTTACTACTTCAGCCCAACCGGTGTGTTGAGGAGTGAATCCACAACATTTACAAACTGAGTATGACGTTTAGCTGGTAATTACATCCAGCATCATCGGGCGATTTGCCACTATTTGCCGTTTTCTCAAATAGCGAAAATTATCAGCGTGGCCTCCCCTGCTGGTGGCGACAGCGATTTGCGTGCCATCACTGGGCCTATACGAGACTCGAGTTGAAACCTGTAATGGGGGTCGCACTTTGCCCTCACAATCCATGTTCTACTTCCATCTGAACTGTTTGCCTCTGCACGATAACGTTTATAAGCACACGCGTGTCAGCTGTTGAGCGCCGCCTGAATTCTCACCGAAGTCTCAAGATGATGAACTACGCGTGTTGTTGTTGTTATTACACTTCTTTACCCCGGGAAGCCTCACCGAGTCTCAGGACCCTTTGTCAAGAGGGTCTTGCCAGGTGTTTTTAGCAGTTAGGGAGAGGGGGGTGATGTTTGTGTTGCCGTTGCTGTGTGTTTATCCCAATTGAGTAAGTTGTGGGTATTTTATTTTTCGCCCTTTGGAATGTTTAGCCGATACCAGTTACATCGCCATGGGTTTTTTGTTTTTGTTTTAGCTATGGGGGAAGAAACTGGAGAACCGCGAGGAAACCCACACAGACACCCAAGTAAAGACCAACATGTAAACCCAGACAGAAACCCACGCAGAACAGAGGGAGAACGTCCAAACGCCACACAGGAACGCGCCTGAGTTTATAATCGAGCCCAGGAATGTGTTGCTCTAAGGCGTGAGTATTAACACTTTGTTTTTGTTAGTTGTTGTCCCCCTCGCCGCACCTCCGATTAGCACAGTTGGCTACATACGGTGCGAAAGAGGTTCAACGTACACACGTACATAAGTAGATGCACACACGCTGCAACCCTGCTAATCCATCACAGACCTGCCACGAGTGATAGGCAGCACCTGAAGGGAAAGCAACTTGTACTTCCAAATCTTTCACTTGTCTCCCAATCCCAGTGCTCCTGTGAGCAGCAAATTACTCCTTGACCGACCAATCTCAATGCACTCATGACACAATGTTAACACTCATTACACAATGTTTACAGTCTCCACCACGGCGAGACACGGGAGCCATCCCTTTCACAGCATTCAATCGGCTGTTGAGAGGAAAGTCGGAGTAAGTTCGGTTGCGCGTGTAACGTTACCGAGTTGGCACACATTGCGGGTGACTGCGATCCCCAGCCCATGCTGTACGGGATATGCCTTCAAAAGCAAATGAAGTATCGCATACATTCTATAACTTAGTGAGTAGGTTCTATAGCTCAACGTGTAAGTTTTGTCACTTGGCGCGTGAGTTCTATAACGTAACGCTTAGGGTATATAACTTAATGTGTAGGTTCTAGAACTTAACATGGAGGTTCTATAACTTCACGCTTGGGGTCTATAACTGAATGCGCGTAAGTTCTATAACTTAACGGGTGTAGGCACGTCGAAGGCCTGCGCCACAACGCGAGCGAATCGTTTGTCAGGACGCGTTGATTCTCGCTGTCCCAGCGCGGCGGTCAGTGGATGAGAATTCTTCAGAAGCAGAAAACCAACAAAACAATCTCCTCATTGCCACGTTTGTAAAGGGGACTGTTTGCGAAAATGTTGTTTTTGTGAGGCGTGCTCCACAACTTGCCGGTGAGCTGCAGCAATAGGAACTGGCACGTTGTCTCAATGCTTGTGCACTACGTGACTATTTTATTCGTTTGGCTGTCGACTGATGAACGCCAAACCCAACAATCGATGACGCATCTTGATTTCCAAAGTAAACTATTACACTAGAAATGTTTACCAGGTAAAGCCCACTTAGATATACAGGCAATCCTCGACCGATGAACGCGCACACTTAAAACGCGTTCACTTAAAACGCGACCTCGAAATTGAACCGCAGAGGTATTTTATTCAGAGGAGTGATCCTCCGCGAGGTGTCATGAGTGAGTGTTTGCGCGTGTGTGTGTGAAAGTGAGTGTGTGGGGAGCGGTAGTGTAGCGGTCAGCGCTACGCTACAATACAAAAGCGTCGACGCGAGTTCGATTCTTGCTCACAGCCAACACCAGTTCCTGTGTGTGTGTGAAATTGGCCTCAAAGTGCACCTCGCCTGGCACAGGCGCCGTGGTGACATGGCTGCCACTTAGTGGCGAATGGTGGGTGATGGTATTGGGGGAAGCGATAGTTGAACGGCTCGCGAACTGTCCTACCAACCTGGTGACTAAAGTTCAATTCTCGCTCACGATCAACACCGGTGACGATTATCTGACTGGGACCTGGGCCTCCTCCAGGTCGACTCGGCCTCAACTGAGTACCTGGTGCGGTGTGTAAACGTCGCCACTGGGGAGACAAAGGCGGCCGGGTGTGGTGCTGGCCACCCACCCCTTCGTGTGCCGTGCCGGTCTTCATAGGTGTTGCTCGCTAACAGCACTTGCCCCCACAGTATGTTAAGGCTACACGGGGGATCTTTGTGTGTGTGCAATTGTGACAAGATAGCATCAGGGCTCAATGTAAGTGAAAATATAAGTTTTTTTTCTCTTTATGTTACTTTATTTTATGTTTATTTACTGCACGACATTTTTTACAGTGTTAATTGCCTTCATGGGCGCTGCTTATGCTTCCCTTTTTGTTGAACCGGAACATATTTCATACCGCTGATCATTTAAACACGGTGCATTGATGTGTTCTGACTTACGAACCGTTCGACTTAAGAACGGGCCTCAGGAACGAATTAGGTTCCTAACACGAGGGCCGCCCGTACAGCTCTTTATCAGAAGCAACCTTCGCCAAAAGTGATAGGTCAACAAAGTGGCTTATCGCGTGGGAATGTATCGCAGCCAAAGACTTTTAAATGCACGTTGATTCTAAATGTGGAGAGAAAACAAGAAGAAAAATCCACGGGGAGAGAGAACATGCAAAGTCCAAATATACAGCAGGCGTCAGGGTTGTGATCGAACCCACGACCTCCTGTAGGCCAGGCGAGGTCGTTAACATCTCCTAGCCACCGTGGCGCCACATTTCTCTGCTGATGACACCGCCACCTCGACATCTTTGAATCTTTGAACCCGACCTGCCCGCCCACGCTGTCTCCTCAGATTGGTTCTCACTTCCTCCAGCTGAAAGTTGTACCATAGCATGTACATGTGTGTACATGTACATGTGTGTACATGTACATGTGTGTACATGCATAACTCTCGAGTTAAAGCACTGCTGAATGAGGACCATCTCCATGCAGTTTGCGGGGTCGTGAGGGGGGGTGACTTTCAGCACAATGTCATCGCGCTGGTCAGCGTGGCAGAGTGAAGGCAGGGAGCATAGACGCAAGAGCATAGTACGGTACAACGACGGGCCTTGCTGTACAGAGCACGAGCAACCCCCTGCCGCAGCCGATGACACCTGTTGGACGCACGGCGCTACAGACTCGCAGACACAGAGCGGGCTGGAAGCTCCCACACACGCGGCGTGGACCGTAGCGAGCTCCGCAAACTTGCCCCGCTCAGCCTGCATGGGGTACTGCACGCGTCACTCCAACCACGTGGCAGTGGGGTCGCGCTGCCAACTCCCGACCGCCTTTGTCTCCCCAATTGTTGATCCTGCACCAGTCGCTACTAATGTTGAACTAAGTTTACTGGAGGCTCAGACTGAAGAGAAACCAGTTGCCACTGCCACATAGTATAGTACAACAGTGGGTTTTGCTGCATGTTGTGCTGTGCATGAGTGAGGTGACGTCTGTTGACATATTTCCACGGTGGTGAGATGTGAATTACCTCACCTGGTATGCAGGAGGTTGTGGGTTTGAGCCCGACCCCGACGCCTGTTGTATATTTCGAGTTTGCATGTTATCCCCATGGTCACGTGGAATTTTCTCCGGGTCCTCTGGTTTTTCCCTCCACATTTAGAAACATGCGTTTAGAGTATTTGGCTGCTATAAATGTGCACATGATAAGCCACTTTGTTGAGCGATCATTTGTGGCCAGGTCGCTTCTGAAAAAGAGCTATACAGCTCTGTGAGCCTTACCTGGTAAGATAAAAACATTTTTTTGTAAACTTAAGGTTGTGTAAATGTATACAGTGTATACGGTAGATTTTAATGTGTTTTATGTGGGTGCCGTTGCGTGTTTGCGATGTTACGCATCAGTCAGCCATCCCTCGGCCATTCTTGCAAATGAGACTTTGCATATCAGGTGATTATCCAGGTGAAATGTTGCAATCAATAAACAAGAATAAAAACATCCCACTTGCCTTGGTCGTCACCTGCATGTGTTTCACATTGCCGTGTGCACCTCTCAGTGTGAACCCATCCCAAGCGTAGGATTCTTTGCAGAGTTACACAATGTCACGGCGATTTCAGATATTTTTTACATCACCGGAGCTCATGCGAACGTTCAAATCCTCGTTTTTTTTGCTGCTTTCTTCCCCTCCCCCCACCCCGTAGATCAAAGGGGTCGAGAGACAAGCTGGCGATGTCTCAAGAGAAGTGCTCTGGCCTTCGTTACGCAACCCTGGCCCTGGGCATCGGCATCCTCATGCTTGGCATCCTCATGCTGTCCTGGAGGTGAGAGCGGTTATGTAACGGAGCGCCAATATCATCCCAAAAAAATTACCTATATTATGGTGTACATTCTGCACTGGCGTGCACAAGCAAAAAACGCGTCTCACATATGCCGCTCACATGGACGTTTTTCAGGGGAATATGGCCCTTACGATTGTTTCGTGGGGGGTCCTTCAGAGGTTTGTGACCCCCGAATAATTTCGATACTTTTTTTCATTGATGTTTAAAGGCCACTTGATTATTTTACAAGCCGCGGTGGCAAGGTGTTAACTACCTCACCTGGTGCGTCGGACGCCGTGGGTTCTATCTTGACCCTGACGCCTGCTGTATATTTGGAGTTTGCGTGTTCTCCCCGTGGTAGCTTGGATTTTTCTCTGGGTCCTCCGGTTTTTCCCTCCATATTTATAAATGTGCCTTTAGAGTATTTGGCTCCGAAACATTTCCACGTGATGATAAGCCACTTCGTTTAGCTATAATTTGTGGCCAGGCAGCTTCTAAAAAAGGACTACATAGCTCAGTGGGCCTTACCTGGTGAAATAAAAATTGGTAGTTAGTAGGTAAAAGGTAGGTAGGATTTCTGCGGGGAGGGAATTCCAGACCATAGTGGGATGGCAGAGGAGAATGAGCGACCAGCACAGTCTGCCCTAAGAGTGATGTCCTACACCGCCTTGTGCTCCCCCACATGTTCTTGAAGAGCCGTGGAAAACCCGGACCGGATTTGGAACGGCACCTCCGTCGACCAGCCGTCTACGCCGTCCATCGGCCAGTCGTCCACGCGGACCGTGGTGATGTTCTGCGGGGTGGGGGGATGCCTCCTGGTGATCGGCATCACCTGGTCGGTGTGCGTCGCCCGCCACCGCCAGCCGCCCGTCCCGGAGGTGCGCGCGGAGGCAATCGCCGACGGTGGGGTCATCATGGACAGGTCAGTGCTGGGTCGACGCGGTGAGCTCATCCTGAAAGCATCATTTTGTAATAAAGGTCGTTGAAGCGACTTCTGGAATCCGGTCTTTATTCGTCTTTCATTACAACACTCCTTCACGCTGCTGACAGACAGCGTGAGAGGGATAGAAAGAGACGCGCGCAGCCACGTGGCAGCCTGGACCCCCACTCTCGCGTGGCTTCTTCCCTTCGTTCGTTCCCGTTCTGACCACGTCTTGTTCGTCTCCAGCCCTATTTAATACCCAGGTCACGTGGTACGTTTCCACCAATCCTGGTTAGCCTCTATGGAATCTTCCAGATTTCACCGTAGGCTCCCGGGACCACGCCCCTGACTCGTCTCCCCATTGGCTGTGGCTAAAGCCAGCAGAACCAATCCTCTACTTACAGCTGTCACCTTTCCATTTCGTCAGGGCCACGCCCCGAGGCTTCCCCCCATTGGCTATGGACCAGGACCGGCAGAGCCAATCGTCGTGACGAGTTGTAATCCGTCAACGACCCGGATATATCCTCACATTACACTTTAACGCTGTGCGCAGTGGCAGAGGCTCGCGGCTCACAATCGGAAGGGTGCGGGTTTCAAATTCTGCCATTGGAACCTCATTTGCCAGTAAAAAATATAATTGTTTTTTTTACCCTTCTATCTGGCACCAAAACTGACACCTTTTTTTACAAGGAGTCATGTTTGCATAGACCACAATACCTGCAGTCATAATGCAAACTAAAAACATAACTCTGTATGCACTGTCCTTGAAGTTGATTGGTCCACACCCGAGACAGCTTTCCTTAGAGCCTAGTCTCACATGTTACCTGCTATGACGTGTAGAATATAAATACCACATTCCTGTGACTGGGGCCAGCATATCCATAGTATACCCACAATTTACTTACTGCAAAGTGGTACTTTTTTTTTTATGAGCTCTTGATGCACTAAGTAGCTGTGGTTACGTAAGTGAGGTCTCTATCGGCGTTATGTATGCACACGCGCGTGCGTGTAAAGACAAATATTAATCTCAATATGTTCAGCTCAGACCTGGAACCTCGGACACGTGTGATTCGACCTGCTGGAACCCATTAGTATGAGGAGCATTGGCACAACCGCAAGCAAAGGAATTTTGGCACAGTTTTGTCCAGATGTTCTGCGGTAGACGGGCCACCTTATTACACAACGCCGTTCTCCATAAGACAGTTCCCAGACTTCTTTAAAGATGAAACGGATCTTTCCAAAAAATAAAAATGAAATTACATGGCGATGCTATATTGGCAGCAGTGCACAATCACCAATAATGAAGAACGTCAACGCATTCGTCAATAACACTGCAGCCTTAAAACACATAATAAGCGGCATTTCAGGAAATGATGCTTCTTCATGACTGAACCGTTCTGGGGCCACCCCTTTTGCATCTGGATAAGGACCTTCCTGTTTCGTGCCTAAAACCTGTGACATCTTCATAGCACGAATAGAGATTATTGGTCAAAGGTGGGTTTCCCACTCCTCTATGGCTCGTATCCTTAGAGAGTGTGAGTTAGAGACGTAAGTAAGTCGACTAGGGCAGGACAAATCATCGCGAGATGGGGCCGGTGAATGAGACCGGGTGATGGAATTGCAAACACAGGGTTGTAAAGGGATTAGCCCATGGGCAGCAGCAGCAGCAGTGAGATGGATTGTGGCATCGCAAGATGGTGACGGATGGTGACTGCGTTGGGATGCCATCACCCAGCGGTGAATAGAAACGTGGCTGACGGTGATGGCTGAATGGAAACGTACATTAAAGTTTCATCCAAATACCCACCTGAATGTTGTTGTTGTAAGACCCGGGTCGGAGTTTGGATTCGCAGAATTCCCAGACAAGGTACAGTATTCAGTAAGGAGACAAATAGTAAACGTGGTGTTTGATGCACACTCACTTTGCGGCAATCTGCAAAGCTGTAATGACGCCGGTGGAGAAACGTTACGTGAAGATGTAATGTGTTTTGTCGACGTATCGACATGTTATTGGAATTACCCATCCAATGGGTACAATGCAGTCCCTTTTGAGCAGTTACTTTTGATGAGAATCGCATCTCAATTATTTTTTTCTTCCCATAAGTCGCGTGCCATTTGTTGAAGGGAGTGGCTCTCCAAACCTTGACACGTCGCGCGCGCCGACTTTATTAGCGGTCTCCAACTCTGGTTGAAAGCTTTCGCGAATTAGCCCTCCACCCATAACAGGCATGGAGGTAGTGGGGGGGTATGATAACTCTCACAAATACGATCCAATAAACAGAACTGTAGTAGAGGGTTGTGTTGCTATTAGGGACATCACCTGTTGAGAACCAACCACATTGACCAAAACGGGGAGACAAACCAGCACAACACAGGACTATTGTATAACGCATGTTTGCCCTTGCAGATGCTCGTACTGCTTATTATATAGTCAGTCGGTCGGCATCCTTTGTTTAGTGAGGAGATGAATAAAGCCATCACCATAGATAAACTAAACTATTTTTATTTTACCAGGTAAGGCCCACTGAGCTATACAGCTGTTTTTCAGAAGCGACCTGGCCACAAGTGATAGCTCTATTAAGTGGCTTATCATGTAGAAATGTAAAGCAATCAAATACTCTAAACGCAAGTTGATTCTAAATGTGGAGGGAAAAACCGGAGGACCTGGAGAAAAATCCACGCGACCATGGGGTGAACATGCAAACTTCAAATATACATGCGCCAGGGTCGGGATCGTACCCATGACCTCCTGTATACCAGGCGATGTCGTTAAGATCTCGCCACTGTGGCACTCTAGATAAAAACATCATTGCCTATTGTGCAATGGGTGACGTGTCTCTTTTTTCATTATTTCCTTAAAGCTCCCTTATTGTGCCTGATTCACCCAAACTCCTCTTCTCCCTCCACTCCCATCTTAACACCATCAGTCTTCCCAACTTCCCTACTCATTCATCATCACTCACTTATTATCATTAACCACTTACCGTCACTTTCATTATCGTTTATTTCATGCATAATCATATACAAATTGATAATTCTTTGTTCAGCACCTTGGTGAAGGCGCTAAATAAATAAGAAAATTATTTAGAATCAACATCACGTGCTATAAATGCCCACGTGATAAGCCACTTCGTCGAGCTATCATTTGTGGTCAGATCGCTTCTGAAAGAGAGCTACGTAGCTCAGTAACATAAGTAAGATAAGACGTGCGTCGGGGACGCGTCCACGTGATACGTCAATGTGACCCCGTTCATCCTTTGCAGGGACGGCTCTCTGTTCCGCGCTCCGCGCTACGAGGAGGTGGTGAACGCGAGCGCCTTTGACCGGAGCTCCAGCGACGCGACGGGAGACGACGTCTACCTGCCGTCGTACGACATCGCCACCTCCACGGAGAACCTCTCGGCCCCCGCGGGCGATCCCCGCGACCCGCACCCCGGGGGCAACGCCTCGACGGGCGACCACGGCAAGATCCGCAGGATCAAGTCGGAGGTGGCGGCTAACCACCGCAAGACGCTCAACCTGCCTGGGGAGGAGGGGAACGCGCGGGAGGAGAGGATAGTGGTGGAGCCGCTCACCCCGCCGCCCACCTACGACGTCGCCGTCGCCTTCCCGCTGAGCAAGCTGCCCGACGCCAGCTGATGCTGCCCCCGATGCCGGCTGACGTGTTCTGTCTGTGGCAACTCGCCGGCCAAAACTCTCTCCGCTGCTCCTCCTCCTCTGCTTTGACGGTGCAGCGAGATGCATTGATGAGAGCTGCTCCCGCGTCCGTGGTACAGCATGGGCACGTTTGTCACCATGCATCAGCCAAACGTTCACACTTGGTACAAGACAAAAGAGGCATATCTGAAAATCGTTCCTGTATTATTATTTTTTTGCGACGATAAAGTCCACGAGCTTTTTTGGCCAAGGGTCCCTGCGAGTGTATACAAGGTAGTGTGTTATTGTGTTATGTTAATCTGAGTCTTGTTTATGTTTCTCTTGTACTGGTACACGTGCAGCGCTGTTGTCATTCCGCTGCTGGATGAGGGATCTCTTAGGCCTCAATTTGACCGTACCTCACTACACCGGTCCGTAGCGGTTGGTCAAGTCAGGGGGGAAGTTGATGTGAGGGCTGTACTGTCAATTGTACATATTACGTAGAAGTTATATAAAGTGGATGATATAAGGGCTTCATATCTGCATATTGCTCACGAATTGTCTTCTCCTGGTGGCGGTGTGATAAAAGAAATGCCGTTGCGCATTAACGCAAGTTTCCCAACTGAACACAATGACCGAGCGTAACCGATTGAGTGTACGGTTCTTCTGCACGGAATGAATTTTGTGAATTTGTGGATTCTATTTGCAAAAGTGTTCATGATGCACGTGGATTGAGTGCACTTATTTAAATACGTTCCATTTACATGTTACGTTTAAAAACTGGGTATAGCAATGGAGTTTCATTGGCATACAGACAGAACACAAGTTTTTTGCGTGACGTTTTTTTTAAACTGTTGAAAAATGTGTTTAAAGTGGAGATATTTTTGTACGTAAAGTTGTGTGAGTGATGCGAAACAAATGGTAAGGGTGAAATAGACAACAAGGACGACACGAATTGCAAATAGTAAAGACAGTGTTTATCAATAAGGGTGATTAAATGCCAGTCGACCAGGACATGAGGGGGGAGGGGATGCATCCTTCATGTTCCTCGTGTTCTTCTTGAAACAAATTCGAATGCTCAACTCTCATCCAAGAAATGAGATTTAAAACTCATTTCTTTTAAACTGCATTTTGTGTTTAGTTTGTGGTCAAAGAAGTTCAATATCCATACATACAACCTATACCCTTAGCCAGGAACAGGGCCTCTCCCTCGCTTTGTTTTCACAAAGTTAAACAGCGCCCGGACCCTGCCCGTGCTGGAATTGCATCCTCCCACAGCATGAAGAGCAGGCAAATGTTGTCATGAGCTGGCCAATTTCGTCATGAGTTGGCCAATGTCGTCATGAGTTGGCCAATGTCGTCATGAGTTGGCCAATGTCGTCATGAGCTGGCCAATGACGTCATGAGCTGGCCAATGTTGTCATGAGTTCTCAGACTATGGTCTGGGGGTGGGGGGTGGCACACTTAAAAAAAAAAGTGCCAGACTCCGTCGTGGCAGTGCCAACCCCAGAAACACTTGTGTTGTGTTTACCATTACATTCCACTTCAGGAGGGCTCTGGGCCCACTCATAACTAAGGCTACCATTTGTCAGAGTTCATGGATGTCACAGAAATTGGGGATTCGAATAAATTCTGTGAAATGTTAGAAATGGCAAGTGATGTACGCTATATTCGGCTACTCACTCGAAAATTTTCATGAAATAGTGGTTACCCCCCCCCCCCCACATTATTTGGCCATGAATTTCACCAAGAATTACCGTGACATAAAACATAATTAGCCTTAATCGTAACCAGTAATGCAAAATGTAGCAGAATCTGTGAAACAACTGGATCAAAGTGGTGGAACTGATCTGTGAGGTCTTTAAATAAAGAGAATGGTTTGTAATGATTGTGTTTACACGTTATTATGTTTTCAGCATTCATCACGAACTCACGTGCATGTATGTACCTCTGCTGTTTAATAACACAGCATGGCAATTCATACGTTGGGTTACAGAGAAACCCCAGAAATGATGAAAATCTGATTTCAGCAGTGAGTCCGCTTTTGCATATTCCCAATTTCCCCCGGACGAGTATTTAAACTTGACTTAAAGCTTTCGTGACTGCAGGAATAGATACTATTCGGGTGTTTCGGTAAAGCCACGTAGATAGAAAAATAATAATAAAACATAAAAACATCACGACGTTTCGATCGCACCAGAAGCAATCGTCATCGGGTGAAAAAATATAGCGGGAGAGCTGCTGAGGCAGGAAAAAATATAGTGGGAGAGCTGCTAAAGCAGGGTGTTATATAGGTTTGAGATGGGTGTAGCCCAAGGGTAAGTAGGCAGGGCTAGAGATGGAATGTGCGTGTAAATGTAAGATCGGAGAGCTGATATACCTCCACGACTACGAAGCTGTGGAGGTAGCCATTGTATTGTGAGAGATTAGAATGTCAATCTGTTAATGTAAGATTAGCAGGTCAATGTAGGAAAACCACCGCAACGGTGGCTGTGTTAATGAGACATTTAGCCTTTTAATGTAAGATTAGCATGTCAATGTAAGAAAACCGGGTGCCACCGCCACATCAAGGACAATAAAGCTGTGTAGGTGGCCATTGCATTGTGAGAGATTAGCATGTCAATGTAAGAGAACCACCGCAGTGGTGGCTGTGTTAGTGAGACATTTAGCCTGTTAATGTAAAGACATTTAACCTGGTAATGTAGCTCAGAGAGTCGGAAATAACTGCTAACAACGGCAGGTAGGATGGAAACATCACAGCCAGTTATGGCTTAAACTGGTTAATAACGTCCTTCCAACGATTGCTCAGTTTGTACTCATCTTCTCGGTGGGAATTGTGTCTGTTTTTATATATCTGGATGGCTTCATGAACGAATCTTTGTTGTTAGCCAGTGGGTTTGCAGAGTACCTTCGTCTTGGAAAAATATATTTCGTGTGAGCCCACAGCGTTAAAACAATGATCAGCCACGGCCGAGGTATTGGTCCTACCGTGTTTCAGATCTGCCTTATGTTCACGAACACGGTCCGAGACATGTTGCTTAGTTTCCCCAATGTAACTACTGCCGCAGGCTCAGCGTAGTTTGTAGACGCCGGGGGGTATTGCATGTCAGGGATCACATCCTTCACAGATGGGATCAGATCACGAATTCTATGCACTGTGTTGAATCGAACCTGGATCTTGTGTTTGCTCATGATTTTGGAAATCTTTTTGGTAACCCCTGCTATGTATGGCAAAGTGATGGTTTGAATTGGGTCCTTAGATCGTTCTTTCCCAACGGTTGAGATTGGAAATCACTGCAATCCTCAAAAACACTAAGACACCTATTAGCAACATCAGCAATGATGAGCGCTTTGAGCTTTCTCAACTAAAAAAGAGAGATGACATACTCATCCTCTCAGACGACAAGGGCAATGCCATGTCAAAAATGTTATAAATTGATTTGCATTTTAATGAGGGAAATAAGTATTTGACCCCTCCGCAAAACATGACTTAGTACTTGGTGGCAAAACCCTTTTTGGAAAGCACAGAGGTCAGACGTTTCTTGTAGTTGGCCACCAGATTTGCACACATCTCAGGAGGGATTTTGTCCCACTCCTCTTTGCAGATCTTCTCCAAGTCATTAAGGTTTCGAGGCTGACGTTTGGCAACTCGAACCTTCAGCTCCCTCCACCGATTTTCTATGGGATTAAGGTCTGGAGACTGGCTAGGCCACTCCGGGACCTTAATGTGCTCCTTCTTGAGCCACTCCTTTGTTGCCTTGGCCGTGTGTTTTGGGTCATTGTCATGCTGGAATACCCATCCACGACCCATTTTCAATGCTCTGGCTGAGGGAAGGAGGTTCTCACCCAATATTTGACGGTACATGGCCCCGTCCATCGTCCCTTTGATGCGGTGAAGTTGTCCTGTCCTCTTAGCAGAAAAACACCCCCAAAGCATAATGGTTCCACCTCCATGTTTGATGGTGGGGATGGTGTTCTTGGGGTCATAGGCAGCATTCCACCTCCTCTAAACACAGCGAGTTGAGTTGATGCCAAAGAGCTCCATTTTGGTCTCATCTGACCACAACACTTTCACCCAGTTGTCCTCTGAATCATTCAGATGTTCATTGGCAAACTCCAGACGGGCATGTATATGTGCTTTCTTGAGCAGGGGGACCTTGCGGGCGCTGCAGGATTTCAGTCCTTCACGGCGTAGTGTGTTACCAACTGTTTTCTTGGTGACTATGGTCCCAGCTGCCTTGAGATCATTGACAAGATCCTCCCGTTTAGTTCTGGGCTGATTCCTCACTGTTCTCATGATCATTGCAACTCCACGAGGTGAGATCTTGCATGGAGCCCCAGGCCGAGGGAGATTGACAGTTTTTTTGTGTTTCTGCCATTTGCGAATAATCGCACCAACTGTTGTCACCTTCTCACCAAGCTGCTTGGCGATGGACTTGTAGCCCATTCCAGCCTTGTGTAGGTCTACAATCTTGTCTGTAACATCCTTGGAGAGCTCTTTGGTCTTGGCCATGGTGGAGAGTTTGGAATCTGATTGATTGATTGCTTCTGTGAACAGGTGTCTTTTATACAGGTGTAGTGACATGGGAGGGGAGGGGCTGCTGGGGGGCTCTGGGACCCTGGGCGGCCTAGGCGCTTGGGCCCCTTGGCGCCGGGTGCTGGGTTCCCAGGCGGCCCAGACGCTTAAGCCCCTTGGCGCCAGGCGCTGGGTTCCCGGGCGACCCAGGTGCTTAAGCCCCTTGGCGCCACCAACGGGGGGGGGAGGGGCTGTGTTTGCTCCATGGGATATTTGGGGGCGCACACGGCCCCACCCCTCGTTGGGGACTAGGCATAAAAGGGGAACTCCCTGGGCGATCAGGGCCAGTTGTAGCTCAAGACTCAAGACCCAAGACCAGCCATCTGAGGATCCTGGGACGCTGTGAGGGCCAGTGGTGGGACTCTGGAACTCCCGGCTCTATGTCCTTGTGAGGGCGAGTTCCAGAGCGTAGCCAGAGTAGTGTATCTAGGCTGTGTACCTAGGCTGTGTACCTAGGCTGTAACAGGGTATCAGGACTGTTGGAGTGTTGGATTGTAATAAAGAAGTTACCTCAACAAGTGAGGGCGAGTTCCAGAGCGTAGCCAGAGTAGTGTATCTAGGCTGTGTACCTAGGCTGTGTACCTAGGCTGTAACAGAGTATCAGGACTGTTGGAGTGTTGGATTGTAATAAAGAAGTTACCTCTACAAGTGTCTCCGGAACCCATTACACAGGTAACAAGCTGAGATTAGGAGCACACTCTTAAAGAGAGTGCTCCTAATCTCAGCTTGTTACCTGTGTAGAGGTGTAATTGTAAAGATGTATGGGCACGGATGGGTAACAAAAACAAGGGGCGTGGTTAGGGCCGTACACAGAGGAGGTGCTCACACCGACGTCCGCACCTCCATCCCCCATGGGCCCCTCCCGGGGGCCGAGTGCTATAAAAGGTGGTGAGCCGGAGGGCTCGAGGTCGAGTGTAAGCTTTAACCGGCGAAGAGTGAAGACCAGCTAGAATAGGCCCCAGAGCTCCCCTGGCTCGCTGTCCTTGTCAGGACCGACCAGGGCAAGCCGGTGGCGTGGCCCCGAGAGCCCAGACTGACGTTCTTATAAGAGCCGGTCTGGAGACTCAGGGTGCCGGGATCCCAGCTTGACCAGGGCTGTGATAGGTAGCCTCCCCTAGCTCCGTAGTGGAGGACTCGGGCGTAGGTTAGCGGGGTTAGACGCTGAGTCTCCCTGTTAGATGAGTGAAGGGGACGATACCACTTAAAGTGCTGTGTATTCCCGTTACTGTACACAAGTTGGTATTAATAAATAAGTGTGCCTCCAACCACGTCATCCAAGCCTCCTGCAACTTACTACATCTGGGGTCAGAAGTGATCGTTCAACAATGGACACACGAGGGACGACGCGTACCAGGGAGCCGGAGATGGAGGACACTTCGGCCGGCTCGGCACCAGAGATGACCGAGGTCGGATCCTAGCAGCCGGGGCCGAGTACACCCGCGCCGCTACGACAGGAAGGGTGGGGTGCGTCGGCCGAGGGACTTCGGCTGGCTCACTCCCGCGTAGCGGAGCTGCTCTACGCTGCGGCCGCCACGTTGGAGATCACGCGGCTGGGGGCTGGAGAGGCTGCGCGGGACGACGACGGCAGCTGATGCGCAGTGCCGTTTCCCGCCACCCCGACGCGGCTCGCAGTCAAATTTCCCGCCATCGCTACAGTGGGAGCAGAGGGCGGGGCCGGCCCACGTCAGGTGACCGCCGAGGGCCAAGCAGAAGCCGTGACATCATCAACACTGGCCAGCGCGTCAACAACGGAGCGACTGGCGATGCCATACGCGCAGCCCGCCCGCACTGTACCGAGTGCCGGGAACGACGGAGCGCGATCCACAACCATGGACGTCGCGTTACAGCAGCGACTGCCGCCTCTCAAAGAGTTCATGGACGCGGACGGGGACTGGGGTGGCTTCAAGAGACGGTTCCTCGCTCATCAGGAGATGGCGAACTGGACGGACGGCAAAGCACTACGCGCGCTGCCGGCGATGCTGGACAACGACGCCCTGGCTACCCTCACCTCGGCGCCTAAGGAAAAGCGCGCCACGCTGCACTTGGCGCTGCAGCTGCTGTCCGCTGTCTACGGCCCACCTTCGGACTGCAGGCAGCTGTTCCACGATCGCCATCGGGGCGCCAACGAATCGCCTCTGGCTTTCCGGACGGCTCTCCTGGCCCTGGCAAAGGCAGCTTTTTTGCGGATGGACGAGGAGGGAGTGGACGCTATGGTGGCGGAAAAGCTGTTGCTACTCGCGGACGAGCTGGACGTCGCTGTCTTGGCTCAAGACGACACAGAGATGTCTTCCTTGCTGGTTGCGCGCCACATCCACGGGGGCTTGCGGTCCCTGAGTCGCAAGGCCGCCAAGGGGGTGGCCGGCCATGCCATGGTGGCTCCCACCCTCCCATCGGAGGAGGTCTGTGGGGTGGAGCGGCGGGGGGAATGGAGATATGCGGGACCACAGGCTCGGAATGGACCGAGCCGCCAGGAGCAGCCCAGGCCATCTGGGGCGCTCACACGCTGCTACAATTATGGCCTTCAAGGCCACGTGGCTTCAGGATGCCGGGCTCCTCGTCAGCGCGGGGCGACACCTTGTCAGGACGCCGCGCCGCCTCCACCCAAGCTCCAGCAGAGAAATATGGCCAGTCGTGGCACCTCACACGTTTGGCCCGTGCACACATCTGTCACACACTCACTCCCTGAAACAAACAGGGTTCGAAAATCGCCGGGCGTTGCGTCGGAATGTTCTGAAATGCGGCGAGCGCTCCAACCGGGCCAGTGGTCGGAGCTCGCCCATCGTGTCGTTGCAGCGTCGGCGGGGTCGTTGGTCGTGGTCGGTCACATTGATGGGGTTGAGGTGCGGATTTTAATTGACATCCTTTGCTCCCCATTGACGTGCCATGCTATGCTGCTAATGGGTGCTCGCTGGGCATCATTGGGCAGATCCGTGCCAAAATTTGCATTGGGGACATCAAATTATCCGGGCCGGTATTGGTTTCCTCCTCGCTGGTGGTTCCGTGCCTGTTGGGGATGGATTTCTTGGCCAAAATGCCTATCCGTATATTGATCGACTAGGGGTGCATCGAACTCCCGTCGGGCCGACGTGTAACGTTTTTGTCTTCCTCCGCCACGGAGCGTCGGGCATTTGCGACCGTGCAGGCGCTCGTGGCAAGGACTGTACGCGTACCCCCGGGAACTCAGATGCTCGTCCCTCTTAGGTTGCGTCGGACGTTTGCTGAGGGGGTTGCGGATCGGGGGGTCTTGTTGGGACCATCTCGAGCCGGGGTCAATGGACCCGATTTGCTAGCGGCTCAGACCATGGTGAAAGGGGATGGGGACCCCTTCATTGCAGTCCTTAATGTGGGATCGCGAACGGCCGTGGTTCCTCAAGGGACCGTGCTTGCACATGCAATGCTGGCACCCTATGAGGAACCGCTCGTGGGTCAGGTGAGCACCGATCCTCCGTCGTGACCGCATTCGGACTGTGATGACGGATGGCTGGATGCGCTTTGCGCGGGATCAGTGGACCTGTCCGACTCACAGCGTGAGAGGCTGCGAGTTCTCCTGAAAGAGTTTGCCGACGTTTTTAGTCAACACAAATTTTATATTGGTTGTACTAAATTGCTGCGACACCACATTGACATGGGTGACAGCGCGCCAATCCGCCAAAATCCCTTTCGGTTGAGTCCTGCCGAAAAGTATCATGTCAAATCGGCCGTTGACGACATGCTAGCCGCCGATATCATATCCCCTTCCAACAGCCCGTGGGGCGCACCGATCGTTTTGGTGAAAAAACACGACAGCTCACTGCGGTTTTGTGTCGACTTTCGGCGGTTGAACAAAATTTCAGTAGCCGACACGTACCCACTTCCTCGAATGGATGAGTCGCTTGATGCCTTGGCGGGGGCGCGATTCTTTTCCACCCTGGATTTATTTTCTGGATTCTGGCAGCTTCCTCTGGATGACGAATCTAAACCTAAGACTGCTTTCCGTACACCGCACGGCCTTTTCCAATTTAACCGCTTGCCGATGGGCTTACATTCCGCGCCGGCAACTTTTCAGCGGTTAATGGAACTGGTCTTGGCGGGCTTGCAATGAGATTTGTGT